TCAGGACATGGGGTCTAGAAATTTCCCAAGGAGCCGTGGATGCCGCAAACGAGAACGTCAAATCTCACCTAGATCCTTCAGCCGGCCACGTCGCTGACGTCGTGCTCGGCGATTTCTTCCAAAAGGAATTCGAGGCCCATTTCGGGCCCGACTTCCTGGGTTTCGATCTAATCTATGACTACACAGTACGTTTGGCATGCAAAGAGTCGACCAATATTCTCATGAAGAGTGCTGATAACGTCGATCTAGTTCTTGTGTGCCCTGCTCCCTGAGATGCGAAGAGATTGGGCCGATCGCATGAAGAGCCTTTTGTCGCCAACCGGAGTTCTCGTATGCCTCGAATTCCCAATGTGGAAGCCTTTGAAAGCTCAAGGTCCGCCTTGGGGTCTGAACGGTGTACACTGGAATCTCCTAGCCGATGGTGCTGATGGCCTGTTCGACGACTCCGGCAATCTTCTCGGGATAGGAAAGGAGCAGGGCTCGTTCGAAAGAGTTGTATACTGGAAGCCCCCGGTGTCTTTCAAACAAAGTCGCGGCGACGACATGCTTAGCGTCTGGAAGTTGAAGCAATAGACGGCGAGGAAACTCAGACATGTATCGATGCTCTATCAGTATCGTCTGCGGCAATTTGAGAGATCATGGAGCACTTCAGCTGGTAAACGATGGTAGCACATTGACTGATCGGGGATGCTTCTTATTGTATAAACGCTAAATTGTAACAGTGTAGTGGAAAACGACCACCTCACATGCCGTCAGTCAGCATAGCCTCAATCAACTGCACATGCCGGTTCGCATTCGTCTCGCTCCACTCGGTCTCGTAGTTCAGACCTGAAATATCGACATTGCAAGTCAGTCTATGTTTCACATGCAGTTGGAACATCGCGTTTTTACCATACCGTATGGCCAGAAGTGTCCACCACCGCAGGTAATCTTCGCATTTGCTCCATCGAAGCTCCTGATCAGCGGTAGCGCCGTGCGCCAATCGCCCGCAGCACATTTTCTGTCAAAAGCCGCTGTCTGGCCAACTCCTAGCGTGTGGCTTATCTCATGCATCGCAGTCCTTTCCGTCATGTAAGCACGGTTTGAGCCGAATCGTAGATCGCCGTTGTAGTTCGCCTCGGCAGTAGGGACACCCGGAGCGTAGGCCACACGGATCGTCTTGTTTGCGTCGGAGTACTTCTCGTAGCGTGCGACGGCCTTTGTCATTGCAGCTTCGATCTTAGTGTATGCGTCTCTCTGGTCGGCGGTGGGGCTGGAGGCTTTTGCCAAGGACCAGGTCAGGCGTGCGGAGGCGGTGCACGCATACGCCGCGACGAGGAGAAGAGAGAATTGCATGATAGTGGATGCAATTGGATTGGATCGAGAGTTGTGGTTGTCGGTGCTGTTCAGGGCTCGCAGCGATGAGGGCTGCTGCGGCATGCCCAATGATATACCGTATGTTCTTTCATGGTAAATCTCCACCGCTAATTACCACGCACACCTCTACTGCTGTAGTGGCTGCAATTAAGTACGGTCTTTCGGCCTCATTAGGTAGGTGGGTTGATAAGTTGGGATATTGTCCCACGCATAAGAGAGCATCGTTCAATCTTTCCCACTCGCGATGATTCTTATCCAGCCAGACATGCTACCTTCCTCTGGCGGCTGGGTCACGTTTAATGTACATTGTCTTGGTGTTGCGGCGTACAAGGGCTGAAACGTTCAAGCGTCGGAGAATTGATTGCATGTAGATAATGTCCCCGCACTCCGGAAGATTTCCACATCGGCAATGAGTGCGCCTCCCGCCTCTCATACAGCCGCCGTTGAGTGCCGATTCCTGGTCGAATGTCTTCCTGTCGCTACCTTGTCTCTACTAGCGGCTGAAGTCGAATCATATATACCACTTGTGTCTGATTGTACATGAGATGGTAGATGAGTCAACCTAATACTACCTAGGTACCTAGGTAATCTCGATGCACTGCATCTACCATAACGCACATGTGGATTACGTGTTGATGTGTAAAAGCTAATCTTATTCTGAACTGGTTGTGGTCTCAATTGCTCTTGGGTGTATTCATTGGCGAATATAGGTGGTAATCGGAGAGACTGAATCTATCGCCTGGTGTAAAAGATATGCAGAGCCGACACACACACCTGGTTTGAGGCGTGACAAGCCCAGACTTGCCCGAATTCGGCGAACGCCTTGTCCGACCCATGCGGCTAATCAGGATGCATGAGAGTGGGACCAAACTCTGGGAAGTTGACGTTTTCTCCTGTCTAGAAAACGGCCCAGCTACTCGTCACTGCCCACGGCTTTGTTTAGTCAGGATATATTCGATAAATTTGTTCAATTTTCCATCAAGCAGCCCAGTTCTCTGGTCTCCGCCTCCGCATCGGTGGTTTAGTGGTAAAATTAGCCGTTGCCATCCTTCACAGGACAGTTTCGGCTAGCCCCGGGTTCGATTCCCGGCCGATGCATTGCTTTCTTTTTGCACAGTTACGCTTCTTTTTGGCGTTGCAAATGGATGTGGTGGTGGTGGACGACTTTTGGAAGAAGCGGTCCGTGCTCGTTCAAGTCAGCAAACCTTCCTTCCGCCTCACTGCGCCACATGCACCGCCACGCGCCCACCTCGCGTTTGAGACCCGCCATCTCTTTTCAGCTACGCGCCCACCTCGAGGCGATGGCTCATAATGCGTTGGCACACCGCGTCCGCAGCATTGGTCGCGACAGTCGAGATTCACTGGCCGGCGCCGCTTCTCAGAATAACCTTCGCTTCACGTGGCGGTGAGGCTGTGAACGGGCGCGAGATTCACACCAGTCTGGGCTTTGTATTAGCAATTCCCTTAACTTTAGTCCTACTGTCTGCCGAGCAGTCACGGATTGCCCTCCTACAACTACACCAACATGTTCACGGGAACGACACCAGAATCGCTCATCCCGCGCTCGGATTCGCGCAACCCGGCCACAACATGCAAAGGCATTACTAAATCCGGGCGACCCTGCAGACGTCCTATTGATGCGAAAGCATCCAATGATGACGGTGTTATCGCTGTAGTATCTGTCCTTAGCGATGACAGCGACGATGACGAGATTGGCGCCGCCGCCTACTTCTGCTGGCAACACAAAGACCAAGCCGAGCACTTGGCCGCGCAAGCGTCGAGCGGGCCGGCAACTCAGCTCTACCCGTTGAAAGAGAGGAACAGCATCGACACGCTCGTGGAACGACTGGGTGTCCTTGATTTTGGAGAACCGGATGAAGCCGTGCCCAAGAAGAGTGGAAGGAGGAGAACATCTGGATCTCGTCCGCCGCGGCGCATCAATCGACCAGCTACCTGGGATAATGTAGAAGGACCGTTGATGTCTGTGCCGAGCGACGTCATGGCAGCAAGAAAGCGCAGAGACCATCGTCCGCCGAAGCCACCGCCACAGAGGAAAAAGAAGAGTTTTTGGGCTTCATTATGTTGTGGGTCTGCAGACGACGACGAATACACGGAGGTCGTGCGACACAAGAGAAGGACAGACGAAAAGCCCGTATTGGATAACGATGCACAAGAGACGCCTATGCAGCAGGTACCACAGCAACCGCCTCGAGTACGACCAGACCACCGAAGGCCGAGCGGACAGACCTCGAGACCTTCGTCTTCTTCGCGACCACCTCCCACATCTCGACCACCAAGTGATCAACCTGCCCGCAAGCCACTAGGAGAAAAGCCCGCTCGACCTGTCAATCGAACAACTCGCGAAGAGTCAGAAACAGCCAAGCTACTCCGCTACATCCCGAACACAGTGCCACCACAACTCGCGTCGACCCTGCTCGCCCAACTCTCAAAGCCCATTTCACCCCACGACGAAGAAGGCTACATCTACATCTTCTGGCTTACCCCCGAAGCCGCCGGTCCTGCACCATCCTCCGCTGCGTCGACGCTTCTTTCACCACCATCACGTGCAGATCAAAGCAGGCGGACTTCAGATGTCATGCGCCAATTCTCCGTCAAAGGCGGACAGCCCAACACCACCCGCTCAAGATCCGGATCCGCAAACTCCCCACCAGACAAAGACACCATCCTCCTCAAAATCGGGCGCGCGAACAACGTCCACCGCCGCATGAACGAATGGACTCGCCAGTGCGGATACAGTCTATCCCTCGTACGGTACTATCCCTACGTTTCTTCTTCTACGCCCTCTCCTCAGCCCTCGCCTGCACAGTCGCGGCGACAATCAGGTGCGAATGCTGGGACTGCCTCTGATGGCGTGAGGAAAGTGCCACATGCGCATCGTGTGGAGCGCCTGATTCATCTCGAGCTTGCGGATCAGCGTGTCATTAAGCAGTGCGATGCGTGTGGCAAGTCGCATAAAGAGTGGTTTGAAGTCGAGGCTACGAAGGAGGGGGTCAAGAAGGTGGATGAGGTTGTTAAGCGGTGGGTTGAGTGGGCTGAGAATAATAATGAAGGATGAGCTGGATATTGCTAGAGAGTTGGGACGCTGAACAACGATTACAGAGCCCAGCAAGATGTACAGTTTTAGATAACCATTAGGTATAAGTAGTAGAATAACTTGATTGCACGTGGATGTGTATCCCAGACGCTTCATCGAGAACAATTCAGCCAGATTGACATCACCAACAACACTGTGTAATTATGTAGAATGAGGAAATTTCATTGGGGAATTGGGTATCTTGTGTAGCTATCGCAGCAATCAAACAATCAGGAGCACCAGAGGCTCGTCTTCTTCGCTAAACTTCCCGATATCCGCGGGTTCAGAATGCGACACAGTTATGGGGGTTGCCCGACATAGCGGACACTGTACAACGGAGCTTTTGGCAGTGGTAGTGGTGGCGAGGGATGAGGGGGTGAAGCGCGGTCGGTCTTTCAGGTGTGCGAATCCATAACTTTTCCATCCTTTTCGTCGCATTCAGTGACGATTGGTGTCCCCCAGCGGTGTTGAACCTCCTCTTACTCGTAACATCGTCCATGGGTGTATATACAGTGGGTTTATTACTGCACTCGGTGCCGTGGTATTGGTATCAGAAAAGGCCGATGCGCGGCCGCCAGTCGTTCTCGTTGACAGACTTTGGGTTGACGACGATCTGGTAAGGGAAGGGGTTGGCGTCGGTGGTTGTGATGGGTGGGATGTGGTCTTTTTCTCGGTTCACAATGGCGATGATCTTATGTGCTGCCTTTTCCAGAGACTTGGTCATGGCACGGCGGACCTTGAGCACATCTGACACTTTGTTAGTGGCGCGCGTTGCAACAAGCGGAGAGACATACCAGTTTCTGTGCGTGGCTGGGCAAGGGTAACGTCCAGCGTCCACTGCTCCCAGCAAACGTCCTCGTCCGCCTTGCTGAAGAAGTACGATGTCTTCTTTCGCTTCTTCTCAAAGAACTGCACGACAATCTGCCCCCTTCCTCTCGGCTGGTGCGTGCTGTCTATCGCCCGAACTAGCGCAAACGTCTTCTGTTCGATAAGTGTCTCGAGATCAACATCGTCGATGGCAGGAAGGGTCAGGTCGAGCAGGTCGCGGGTCAAGGGAGAGATGGACGTAAAGTAGCGGTGGAAGAATATCGTGTGCAGTATCGCTGGAGCCAGGTCAACTACGGTCTACGGGGTATTCGGGGCGGGGAGACGTGTAGTGGGGGAGAAAGTTGCGCCGATCTTCACGCCAGAGACACGGTGGAAGAGAAGAGACTCACCCTTGACAACATCCTTCACGCACGCCGCGTCGGCAAAGATCTCGAGGTTGTACTCTGGCCGCCTCCTAGGTTCCATGCTGGCATCAACAGTCCGGAAGCCCGAAGCGCGTGCTGAAGACCGGGTAATGCGCCGCGCGGCGTTCTGGGGCGAGCGTGTCGCAACGAGGCGCTCAAAGGCTGTGGCCGTCGGCGGTGCTGGCGTCGCAGTAGCAGTCTCGTGGCGGTAGGCGGGGCTTTGCTGGCGGGTTCGTCGTGGGTGCAAGAAGTACGGAGCTGAAGATTTGGGGTTGTGCGGGGCAGGAGCGGACGAACACGACGACGGAAACTGAGAAGGAGCGGCCGGCATGCGTGAGATCATCAAAGAAGCACAATCCTGGCTGGGCACCATTTTCGCCTAACCCACGCCTATCAGCGCCTGTTGACTGCATAGCCCATGGAGCCCTACAGCTATTTGTAGCCCGTCTCAGCCACAGCCCAACATGACACCCTCTGAGACACGTTGTCAAGATTCGCACATGAAAGTGTCATCTGCCTTGGCCGTCTGAATCACCACCTCGTCACGTCTGACAGACCACCGCGGCGTGACTGGCACGGGGAGGCAGCAAGTATCCGCTTACGAACGGGCCGCGAACATCCCTCAGGTTCCAGGTTCCAGGGGCGCTAGCATAGTCGGCAAGGCTGCTTGACATAATCGTGCATGACCAAATCTAGTCGTCGAAGCGAAGAAATGTCTCGCATGCATATAGCCTGGACCACCAGTTTGCATGCTGCGTGTGGTGGTAGTGTGCACACATGCATGCGATGGGGTTGCCAGTGGAGGAAACGAGAGCGTGCACCTGGTGTACGATGCTTCCAAGCGTCCAAGCCCCGGGGTGTCAGGCACGATCACATGTCAATGCGATTGCCCAGAATGCATGGTTGTGGCTTCCTGCCGCCTTGTCGACAGTATGGCTGCCTCCAGTGAATACCAGAATCAAACGCAAGTAGCAAAGACTAGAAATGCAAGAAGGCACTATGAGCCCACGGCTTGCGGAAAGAATCCGAGTCCTCGACCGTTCGGAAATAAGCTTTAAGGTTGAGCCTCAACCATCGCGCCAAGCCCAAGTCGCGCAAGTCGCGTCACCCTCCTGCCCGACCAACAACCCAACGAACAGAACATGGTCGGCACAAAGCGCAGACGCGACGAAGACGATGTCGACGAGGGCACACCGCAGAAATCACGCGCACGATTTGCTGAAGAGGCTCACGATGAGCTAGAACCCCTCGAAGCGCAGACACCATCCAGAAAGGGGAGGACACAACATCTGGCCGAGCATGGGACGCCCCGATCCATCTTGAAAAAGACTGGTCTGGTAAACAGCATCACCGCGACGCCCAAGTCTACCCGGAAGCTGGTCTTTGAGACACCTACCAAATCCGCAAAACGCGACTCTCCGAATGGCACGCCCACCATCGTTCGCAACGCCGATCGCAGCGCGCGCAGAAAGAGCAATCGCCGTATACTGGAACGCACACTGAATGGCGACGAGAGCGATGAAGATGCGCTGGATGAGGAGGAGGACCTCGCGGAACACATCTTAGGGGAAGACACAGAGGACGCGGAGCAGGCCGAGGAGGGAGTGGTACAAGACGAAGCACCTGTACCAGAGACACCCTCGAAGCGTGGGAGAGGCCGACCTAAGGGGTCCGGAAAAGTAGGGCGGCCGCGAAAGCAGCGCTCGCCGACACCTCCGACTAAGCTGCCACCGCACGAGGAGTACTTCTGGCAGAATCGCCCTGGCGGCACCAAAACCTCCAACAACACTCTCTCTGCGCAGAGCCTGTTGAATCACGATGAATACTTCTCAGCAATGCAAACGTACGAGGACCGCCACCAGTCTGAAAGAGAGTTCTTGCTCGAATTGCACGGCCGAGCATACGATCAATGGATCTTCGAGCTGGAGGAAGGCTTCAACATATGCCTCTATGGGTACGGATCGAAGCGCATCATCACCGAACGATTCACCGCACGCATCTATCAGTCTCTCCTAGACGCTGCGCCGTACAAAGGGACAAAGAAGACACCGAAGGTTGTGGTTATCAACGGATACACAGCTGGCACAACCGTAAAAGACTTGCTGTTGACTTTAGCATCGGCAGTTATACCAGCCGGACCAAAGTTGCCCAATCAGCCTGCTCTGCTACTCGATTTCATCCTCGAACACCTCACTAGCAACCCGCCGCCGCATCCAGTACCCGTCATTCTGAATTCCATCGACTCGACCTACCTTCGAAAGTCTCCAGTACCTTCCATGCTCGCCCGCCTAGCTGCACATCCATCAATCAACCTTGTCTGTACAGCGGATACACCGAACTTCCCTCTTCTGTGGGATGTAGGCATGAAGACACAATACAAATTCCTCTTCCACGACGCAACAACCTTTACGCCCTACGACGCGGAGATAGACGCGGTAGAGACTGTGAATGAGCTCCTCGGACGCAGCGGAAGACGAGTAGGCGGAAGAGATGGTGTCGGCTTCGTCTTACGCTCTCTACCGGAGCAAGCTCGAGAACTGTTCCGCATCCTCGTCATGGAGCAGCTAGCTCTCTCACTCATGGAAGGGGGCGATATGGATGAAGAAGACGAGGTTACTGCTACGCCGAGGTCGAAGAAGGTCGCACAAGTCAAGAACGTTCTGCCAGAGTCTACCCAAGGCGTTGAGTACCGCGTGTTGTACCATAAGGCTGTCGAGGCCTTCGTTTGTACAAGTGAAGTCAGTTTCAGGACGCTGCTCAAGGAGTTCCACGACCATCAAATGATAGAGAGTAAGAAGGATGGTATGGGTACAGAGAGACTGTGGGTACCTTTCAGACAGGAAGAGCTAGAGGGTCTCGCGGAAGATCTCGCTGGAGAGGCGTTTTGATTTGCGCACCCCGTTCGACGAAGAAGTTGAACACCTACACCACCCTCATACAAAGAATGAAGGGGGTACATGATCCGGGCGTCTACATTGCGTCCAAAACTTGTCAAGTTTCGTTCTGACACCAACGTACACTTCAGGGCGTTCGATTCGTTCTTTATATGCGGTGGGCGTATATCCTTAATTACATTGTACAACATATTTTCATGATATTGCGATACCATTTCCCTCCCTTCCAGCGACCTTGCTGGGTTCAAGACTAGAACAAGGTTAAAGCAAAAAGAGCGAGGACGTTTCACAGAGAGCAAAAGTCTGACAGACAAAAAAAAAGAATGTTAGTGGTCACTGCGAAGTTTGAACCCGCGATCCGCCACCGTCGTCCTGCGGATCTTCCACCTCGATCTTGAGATCAAGTTTGACATAGTATTCTGACAAAAAGGCAAAAAGAAAGGACAGGTAATGGTCACTACGAGGGTCGAACTCGCGACCTTGGCGTTATTAGCACCACGCTCTAACCAACTGAGCTAAGCGACCGTGTTGTCGGATGATTGATGGAAGGTTGAAGAATTACGGCGCTCATGACTGCGATGGAACTGGTGGTATTGGCAGAAATCAACAGTGCAGTTGCTAGACGCGGGGTCGGAGCAAGTTTGCAACTTCCTCGCTGAAAACCAAAACTCACTTAGCTGATTCTCTCGGCCCCACCTACGCGATAGAGCAAGAGCGCATTGCGACTTCTCGATACTCGTTAGACGGGAACGTCATTTGTGAACACAGCTGATGGGCTACACACCTTACCACTTGCGGCGCCTCATACAAGGAAGAAAATGTCGATGCGAACAGGTGCCTGCAATCTACATGAATTTCAAAATGGAGGTTCACTCAAAGCTGGAGGCAATGTAGACTTCTAGGTCATCGATCTTTAGCGATTGTCTAGTCTCTTCCTTGACTATGGTGGTTGGATGTTTGTAAGCCACGGGCTGCGGGTATGAGCATTCTCTCTTTACTATGTCACATCCGTGGTTACCTGCGGAGAATTCATGAGCGATAGACAAGACGCCAAGCACTTCAGTATACAGCTACCTTGTTACCTACCTCTCACGACTATCATGATTGCCGTGACTCAACATAACATGATCTTATCTCTCGAAGTACTTGATCAATGTCAAGATACTTCATCCACTACGCAAGCAGACCTCACTCCTTCAATACAAATGTACAAAGACACCGCAGCCTCTACACAACAAACAAGCCGCTCAAAGTGATCTAGACTTCCAAGTGCCATTCCCTCGTGGACTCCAGACTGCACTAGCGGCTGGTGCGCATACCAAACATGAGCATGTGGCGCTGCCTAGATGGGTCACCAGGACCCCTCGTTGCCACTCCCACAAGCCGACCCTATTCATCCAAGTCATGCGCTGTAAGCCTTGCAGTGGTGCCAATTTGAGAACTCGATCGCCCGAATAGATTTTCGATGCAATCCATTTCTCAAGGCAAGGTCTGCGCTTAGTAGCGCCCACGGCCTAAAGCGTGATTTCGGGGCGGCCACCTAGAATTATGGTCGGGTATTCCGCTTCTTGGTGTATACCTTCGAAATCAGCAGAGGCTGCTGTGATGTGGTCACCGTGAGCAGAAAATCGTGTTGCGGTCGAGTATTCTTTGTTGTTTGCTTTGCTTGAGGCTCTGATGGCACAACAATACCGGGGCAACCCGCAGTCGTCTCCGCATGACGTCCTCATGAGCAAAACTGCGGTTGAATGGCTGGTACGCTGGTAGACAGATTACCGGGAAATAGTTCCCTCTATCGTGGCCTGGATCGACATGCGGAGCCCGCCCCGGCGTTAGCGTGCCACCGTCCCGTGGCAGATCCCAGCTGCAATCACGATCCGTCGCTCTTTCGAGACGACTATGATGGTATGTCAGCCACGTTTTTACTGCTTTAGGTTCGACGTTTGACCTAGGTCCAGATGTTACCAGTAGACCTTGAGTGTAGCGGAGGTATTTCGAGATCCAGGCGTGTGGCCGTCGCGTCAACGGCTGAAGCATGACGACACTTTGCTTTGACCATTTGAGTAGCCGTTGGCTGTGGCATCACCAATCGACTACTTTGGTCTTGATGTATACCTGTATTCCCATCGACAAGTAGGTCGGTTGTCCACTTCTTGACATTGCCATCTTTCCTTCTCTTCGCCGTGCTTGAAGTCTTGCTCTTGGTTCTGGATTTTCACATTCTTCTCGTCTCTGGCTCAGGAGCCATAGCGTCGTTATGAATATCAACGTAAGTTGCATCGAATCGGAACATCGTCGTGTAATACAATACTAACAAGTCCGTAACAGGAACCCGTTCAGGGCAAAGCCTTTGCGCTTCCCTTCACGAAGGCAGCAGATCCCAATGCCAACCTCACCGATTCAGAGATGCGTTTGCCATTGTTGAGCCGAGTGCCTGACAATATCCGTAACCACTTCATCGCCATGTGCGGAGAATTTGTCGGAACTGTCCTGTTTCTATACTTTGCTCTGTCCGGTGCACAAGTCGCGAACAGTATACCGTCGTCGGGAGGCCAGACTGTAGCGGAGGCTGGCAGCAATCCCCAGCAGCTGCAGTATATTGCGCTTTGCTTTGGCTTCTCGCTTGCTGTGAACGCTTGGGTCTTCTTCAGGATCAGTGGAGGCTTGTTCAATCCGGCCGTGAGTACCTCCTCTCTCCTGCGCTATTACTCAACCAGTTCGCTGACGACAATGTAGGTCACATTCGGCATGTGCTTGATCGGTGCTCTCCCCTGGGTACGCGGTGCTTTGTTGTTCGTCACTCAGATCCTTGGAGGCATGGCCGCGGCTGGTTTGGTCCAGTGCATGTTCCCGGGTGATCTCAACGTCCGAACAAAACTCGGTGGAGGTACCTCCATTGCGCAAGGTCTTTTCATTGAGATGTTCCTTACTGCCCAGTTGGTCTTCACCATCTTCATGCTGGCAGCTGAGAAGCACAAGGGAACCTTCATCGCGCCCGTGGGTATGTAACGAATAGCCTTTGGTTGGCTTATGTGGTGGATGCTAACGTCTTGAACAGGTATCGGTCTTGCTCTGTTCGTCACAGAGCTGTCCGGAGTGTACTTCACGGGTGGTTCGCTAAACCCCGCACGCTCATTCGGCCCTGCCGTCGTTAACCTCGAGTTTACACACTACCACTGGATTTATTGGCTGGGCCCCATCCTCGGATCCATTATCGCGGCCGGGTTCTACAAATTCATCAAGATTCTCGAATACGAGACTGCCAACCCAGGTCAAGATATGGACCACGCTGCCAAGATCGAGAAGAAGAAGAATTTGCTGCTCGCCGCTGGTATCAACGAGTACGACGCTCATCAGGTGGCTACAGAGCTTACCGAAAAGGCTGCTGTTGCCGATGCCGGGGGTCCAGATGGTGGAGTCGTTGCCAATGGCCAAGGTCAACGTGACCCACAGTATGTTCCTCACGTCGGCATGTACGGGACACAGTTCCGTTCGAACTCTGACGTCAGCAACAAACGCGGTTCTGGTAGCTCAGAGTCAGGCGTCCTACCATCGCCGCAACGTCCGACTGCTGTGACTACAGGTAGCCAGGTTGGGAGGTTCAGCTACCTAGGTAGTCGCGGTGCCGTACCAGGCAACTCTGCCCAGATCAACGCTCTAAGAAGAGAGAGCAGACAGGATAGCCCTGCTATGACGACGAACGACGAGCTTTACGCTCCTTTGCAGCACGGCGCCGACGTGCCTCTTGGAGGTGCGGTCCTTGAGACTGAACCTAGGCAACGAGTCAACAGGACGCCATCGAGCTTTGCATGATGACGAGAGTATGATAATGAGTAAAGTTAAGAAGCACGACTGGATACCCTCTGAGTAACATAGCGCGTTTTGCTGCAGTGATTCTGTTTAGCGTTCCCGTACATAATGAATCGATTCGTGGTTGCCGCGACGTTAAATACTTCATGGTGATGTTTCTTCGGCAAGGCGGCCGATACCTCGTAGCGCTCAAGACTGAATTGCTTTCGATGTCACCGTTATGAATCACGGGTCTAACAAAGCGATTTGTGCTTTGTGGGTACGGATGCCAGAGATCGAAAACAAACTAATGAGACCAGGTCGAGGTTTGGGGCGCGCCTCGATGGACCAGGTGAGTGAGTTCGTGGGAGAGTGACCTTCTTGCTGAAGTCTGGCAAGTTGAAGCGATGGCACTAGTACAGAAGCGACCTAGCTCGGAATAAATCCCACCCCCACCCGTGACTTCCACATCCAGACTCTGAGTCCTCAAGATTCGCCATCTGTAAACCGCAAACACCAAACAATAAAATCTGCCCGCCATGGCGACTATGACAGTGACAGAGACGCAGCATAAGAGGAGGCTGCCAAAGAATGTCAAATTGCCACCCGAGAATGAACGTTACATGCGTGCGTGCGCAGATATCGCCTCAGCGCTCATTCAGGACTATGAATCCCAGGCCGACGGTTCAAAACCTAAGAAGGATCTGAATCTGAACTCGCTACGAGGTCAGATTGCGAAGAAGCACTACCTCAAGAGCCAGCCTCCGCTCACGGCGATTATCGCGGCTGTGCCTGAGCACTACAAGAAATATATCCTCCCGAAGCTCATCGCCAAGCCGATCCGTACGTTGCCCTCAAAGATATTGCATAAGTATTGTAAGACTGATGTGCTTTGTAGGTACATCATCTGGTATTGCAGTAGTGGCGGTCATGTGCAAACCTCACCGATGCCCGCACATTGCCTACACTGGTAATATCTGTGTATACTGTCCAGGAGGTCCAGACTCCGACTTTGAGTACTCAACACAGTCCTACACAGGTTACGAACCAACATCTATGCGCGCTATTCGAGCGCGATATGATCCTTACGAGCAAGCTCGTGGACGAGTCGACCAGATTAAGTCGCTCGGTCACAGTGTCGACAAAGTTGAGTATATCATCATGGGCGGCACATTCATGTCACTACCAGAGTCATATCGGGACGAGTTCATCTCACAACTACACAACGCGCTTTCGGGATATCAAACCAAAGACGTTGACGAGGCGGTTGCCGCCGGTGAGATGAGTAACATAAAGTGCGTTGGTATCACCATCGAAACACGACCAGATTACTGTTTGGATCAACACCTTTCCTCAATGTTGCGGTACGGATGTACGCGTCTCGAGATCGGTGTACAGTCCCTTTACGAAGATGTAGCGCGCGACACAAACCGAGGCCACACTGTCGCCGCCGTAGCGAAAACCTTCTGTCTCTCGAAAGACGCCGGATTCAAGGTTGTGTCACACATGATGCCAGACCTTCCCAACGTCGGAATGGAGCGTGATCTCGACCAGTTTGTAGAATACTTCTCGAACCCAGATTTCCGCACCGATGGACTCAAGATCTACCCTACACTCGTCATCCGCGGCACAGGACTATACGAACTCTGGCGGACTGGCAGATACAAGAACTACACACCAAATGCTCTCATCGATATCGTTGCCCGCATCCTGGCCCTAGTACCGCCATGGACGCGAATCTACCGTGTGCAGCGCGATATTCCCATGCCGCTTGTCACATCCGGTGTTGAGAATGGTAACCTGCGAGAGTTGGCGCTGGCAAGGATGAAGGACTTTGGTACCTCATGTCGCGATGTGCGAACACGTGAGGTCGGTATCAACGAAGTGAAGCATAAGATCCGGCCCGATCAGGTCGAGTTGGTACGTCGGGACTACACGGCTAACGGCGGTTGGGAGACATTCCTCGCATACGAAGACCCGAAACAGGACATCTTGATCGCCCTGCTTCGTCTACGACAGTGTTCGAAAGAACATACTTTCAGGCCAGAGTTGACTGGCCAGCCCTCTTCGCTGGTACGCGAACTGCATGTCTATGGATCTGCCGTCCCTATACATGCAAGAGACCCGAAGAGGTTCCAGCATCAAGGTTATGGAACGCTTTTGATGGAGGAGGCGGAGCGGATAGCTAGGGAAGAGCACGGAAGTAGTAAGATCAGTGTCATCTCTGGTGTTGGTGTGCGGAGTTACTATGGCAAATTGGGTTACTGGCTAGATGGCCCATACATGAGTAAGACGCTCGAGCCGCTGTGGGAGAGGGACTGGTAGATGGAAAAGTCGTGGCTGGCGCGTTCTGGCGTTCGTGCATGGATCGGACCTGATGCTTCAATTGACAGATATGCAGGGCTCATGCACATGTACAGATAGCATATATTACGCTAATCCAATGTCTTGCTACGAAAATGTATGAACCCGCCTGTGCCCGCTGAACGCCGTGTCTCATATTACAATGTACAAGTGCCCCCTTGCCTCCCCTCCACAGGCGCAATGACGCGTGCCTGTCCTAATGCTTCATCGTCGCATTCAAAGATTCTTTAGATGGTTCCGCGTCTCATCTTACCCCTCGGTCGTGTTTCGCATTCTGTTCAGGATTATGACAGGCTTATCGCGCCGCGGCGGCTTTCGCGCATGTGGAGGAAGGCCTGCAGGCCGCAGAAGACAAAGAAGCCCTGGAAAGACGTTAGTAAACTGTGATGTTATCTTCCCCATTTCAACGTACAATGTATATGAAGACGGCACCAAATACCGCGCCGGCAACTGCGCCACCATCCTCGGGGTCTTCATGTCCTCCCATTACGGTGCCGCTGTGTCCCTGCGAGTTGCGCATTAGCATCAGTTCTGCTTTACATTCACTCATACCCAGTCGCGACTGTGGATTCGAAGATGTTCGTCCTTGTCGGAACCATGGGCGCGAGGCAGACATACTTTGAACAGAGCTCCGATCGTGGAGAGAATGACGATGGCAAAGAGAGACACGACGATGCTGGCACTCCGTTAGCTTCCTTGCTACTCCTTCTCTCCTGGAATGTATCGCGCATACCATGTCCATGCATTCATCGCGGAAACAACGGGCTTCACCATGATGGGCGACTGGGAGCTTCGGTATCGCGCGGCGGCGGGTAACTTATCGGCGGCGGTGGCGGCGCTTCGATCGTGGTATCGCCAGGTGGTTCGTTACCTGTACCGGTGATGTAGAGGATTTCGTAGGAGGAGATGGGGTTGAGAGGTGGTCGACGTCGATGGTGCGGCGCTGGATGAGGTGCCTGAGCCTGGAATCGTCATGTCTTGCGACGCCTGCCGATGCGCGTGGGTCCGTGCACCGCATCTGATGCAAGTGAACCGGGAACTTCCCGAACATCGACATTCATTCCATTCCCCACCGACGCCGCGAAACCTTGATAGAACGGCTCGCCTTCACAATTCGCGCTACCTTTGAAGCTGAATACAGACATCATGTCTTACTAGGCTGGACAACAAAACTTATTGTACCGTCATCACAACAACGGAAGACGGCAATGGACTAGAAACCTGGCTTCACCACACTGAACGACGCCCATCAGCTCTTGGACCCCATCCACGCCGGCATACACAAGCTCCTCATCTATTGTCCTCAGAGCCCAAGATGGACAGTATCGTTGATGCCTTCCGCTTTCTCGATCTTCCCAAAGACATCCGGTTATTAGTATACGATTACTTGCAGCCCGAGAGTCACTTGGTATCGATCTTTGGAGACCACCGTTGCCTCTGGTATACCAAATTAAGGCCTTCCACAGCACTATTATTAGTCAACCGCCTTCTGTGCGACGAGATCAGAGCCTACTTCGGCAAAGGCTACCCTGGGCAGCCTATCACACTCGTTGCCCCGGAAGGTCATTGCACGTTTGCACTGCACTTTCTAGCCGCTCTCTCTTCGGGACATCACTTGGATATGATGTCCAAAGAGAAACATGGCGATGCCGGCATGCCTATCGAACTCTCCAAGTTTACGCAGATGGTACCGATCCGTCAACTGAAGATGAGGATCCAGCAAATCGAACAAATGCGTAGCAAAAGTTCGACGTCTCCACTTAGTGAATGCGACGACACAACGCTTCAGGAGGTCTATCGTCTCTGTGTGCTCAGAATGCGCAAAGAGACATACTTCCAGTTAAGAGTTTTGTTCCGAGACGGGAAAGTTGAAGCCGACATGGATTTGCGCTCTTCACTTTTGCATAAAGACAAAGGCATTGGTCCGTGTGATCTGATTGTGCTCTTTACGACTACACCGCCACCCGATGTTATTCCGTCACCGGCTCAGATAAGGAAAGTTTATCAAGAAACTGCTGTTGATGCGAAGAAGATGAAGTTGCAATTGGAGGCCATGACAGAGCAAGAACTTGACGTTTGGCGAACCGGCCGTTTCTACAACTACCATGACTACGACGGCACCTACGACTTGGACGAATACAACGCTTACCACGGTTACCACGACTAGCACTGAGAGCTTTGGACACAGTCTTCGTGATGATATGGGTTATCTTGTCCCGTTTTGACCACGGCTGGATCTTGGCTTTATGACCTGATGCAAGTCTGAGTAAGAGGAGGTATAGCTGCATTCGCACGCGCTAGGTCTCCAGTCTGAAAACTGTGGAACCTGGGAACTCTGAATGCCTTTGTAGCGATCGCATAGATTGCTGAGTTATGGATTTGTAGTGTTAACCAATCTTTTGATACTGGTCACATCCAACGCTGGGCTTGATGAACAACTCTTCCCATCCCCACTACGTGAATATCCCATAAATTCTGCGAACGGTCTCGGCGTGCAGCCATGATAGCAGTTCCTTTTCTTCAGCGCCCTGTTTGGCTGCCATCCTAGTGATCAGATACAAGCAACCTTGTGAGTTTCCCGCCATGCGTCGAGGTTCTGCTCTGTTGCCACTCGCCAATTAGCAACGCGGATCTGGGGTTTGGTCCGTGTGTCCTGCAAT